GTTAGAGCTGCATCCTTCGGATTATTTGAGATAGTACGGGGAAAAGTTGACGACAATTACGCTCTTGGAGTCCAGAATTCATTTGTGGTTCTTTTGAACTAAGTGTGATGAAAATATATGTTTAAAAAATAGAGTAATATTTTTATATATAGTGCTCTTTTAAAGAGCGTTATGCTTTAACGGAGTTTTGACCATTAAAGTATAGCGCTCTTTAAAAGAGCGCTATATATATATAGAGAGCGCTCTTTTAAACCGCGTTATATACATAGCGCGGTATATAACCGCGCTATACCTATTTTGTGGGCTCACCAATAAGTCTCCTGCGTTTAACTGATATAACAATAATTCAAATGGGTATAGCGCTTTTTAAAAGAGCGTTATACCTAAAAAAATTCAGCCCACCGAGCTAGGCATTGCCTTATTTAAAGGCGTTAGGATTTTACAAAAATCCATTCAAAAATATTCCTAACTCTCGTTCAAATTTTTCTTCTTGTTAAATTCTCAAGCATTTTTTCATAATGTCTGAAGAACGAAAAGTAAGGGTTTCATTATATTGGGGGGAGGGAGGGGGAGGGGGAGTGAGGTTGTGGTGGCGAATAACTCTGTGAGCTATAGTTTATCTCCATAGTGTCATGTTAAGTTGCCACTTACAATGGAGTACGATAGATTGGTATCGTTGTTATGTAATAAAATGAGTGTGAGAAAACGTTTGGTGAACCTTAAAGTAACCGGAAGATATCCGTATTCCGTCACTGCTCAAGGGGTTGCTTGTTACGCTGAGTTTAACATCGACAATGATGAAACTTTGAGGGATTTTTTGAGAACTCTGGATGAATACCGGGAATTTCTTGTGATAAAAATGTTGAAAATATACGTCAAGGTCGAAAACATTCGCAATAATGAGGTTGTGCATAGTAGGGATAACCCTCAGTCATCGGGTGGTTATTCTGGAGTAGTTTTTGCCGGACAGGTTCCGGATAAAAGAGTTTGCCCTGATTTAAACTTATCACTATGGGCAAATGAGGAGCGAGAAAATAATTTCTCTCATGCGTTACATAATCTACAAGACGAGTGGTAAACTTCAATTTTTCTTAGTGTTACGATGTATATTTTTGTTGTATTGAATTTGTATTAACACTCATATATTCCACAGGGGGTACCAACCAGATATGACTTTTACAAGTTATGAACCAACGCGCCAGTTGGAATATGCGTAGTTCTGGTATGTTGGATCATGGTGGTCCATCCGGGAGTCATCACTAACATGATAATGTCCATCAAGGAATGTCAACACGTTACGACTTGTAAGTGAATGGATACAGCTATATGAAAAGTATTTATTAATTTCAGTAGCTTATTATTTTATTGTTTGTGCAGTGAAAACGAGCAAGTTGAACCACCTGTCCTCACTCAATTGCCCGAAGACGACATATTAAATCGGGATCTGGCAGATGCACAGAGTGAGGAAGAGAACAATAATTATGACAACAATGCCAATGATTCCAGAGACGACACACTCTTCCCTCGTGAGGATGGTGATGAGGAGGAAGAGAATGAAGGACTTGATTTGACGAGGGAGTATGCTCCACCCCCCGTTAGACCAAGAGTGTATGAGTCCCAAGTGCCGTTTCATTCAAGGAAGATTTCGTACCTTGATAACCTGCCAAGTATGCTGGATGTGGATGCTCTCACAAGGAATTTTGATGAAATTCGGACAGCAATGTGGGATGATTCTAGACCAACGGTGCTAGCAAAGGGCATGCTTTTTCCTGATAAAGTGCGTCTAAGCAGGGCAGCGAAAATGTACAGCATAAAAGAGTGTCATGAGATGACGGTATGGGAGTCAAGTCCGGATGTACACAAGGTTGTTTGTTGCAGATGGTTTACGAGTTGTCATTGGATGCTGCGTGCAAGCAAGAAGAACACAGGTCTATAGAAAGTGGGTAAACATATTCCCACTCACAGATGTGAAATGGACACATTCAATGGGAATCACTACAACTTGGATATTGACTTGATTTCTCTTGTCCTTATTCCACACCTTGAAGCGTCCATAAGGTATAAAATCAAAGAGTGCATTACATCAGTCCACCAGAAATATGGTCATACCATTACCAAAAGAAAGGCATTTCTCGGGCGCAAACGTGCGTTTGAAATTATTTATGGTAACTGGGATAAGTCATTTGCAGTTTTACCCAAGTACATGGCCACACTGCAACACTTTAACTCCGGGACGGTTGTTGAATGGAAGCTTGAGCGTAGTCCAAAAAAATCAGAATATATATTCAATTACGTGTTCTGGGCATTTAAACCAGCAATTGATGGTTTTCCGCATTGTCGGCCGGTAATATCCATAGACGGCACTCATGTCTATGGAAAGTATGATATCAAGCTATTGATAGCCGTTGCAGTAGATACTAATGGACAAATATTTCCTCGAGTGTTTGCTATTTCTGCCAATGAAAGCCAAGAGAAGTGGACGCTGTTTTTGAACCATTTGAAAGAGCACGTTGTCAAACAGTGTTCCGGCATTTGTCTAATATCTGATCGGCATGGTGGTATCTTAAGTTCTGTAGAGAACTTGCCTGCATGGCAAGAACCTTATGCTTACCACTGTTACTGTGTGAGGTACTTTAAGGCCAATTTTCAGAAGGCACATCCCAACAAGGATTTGCATGATTTGATGTGGATGACAGCAACAGACCACCAAGAGCATAAATTTCGGAGGCACATGAAATCTATCAGGAAGGAAGACGAGAGAACCTATCATTGGTTGATGCGACATAAGCTTCAGAAGTGGACTTTGCATGCGGATAGTGGAAGAATATGGGGAATTCTGACTACAGACGTGTCAGAATCTTTCAACGGGTTATTGAAGTCAGCAAGAGGATTGCTTGTCACTACCATGGTGCGGATGTCGTTCAAGCAGATGGCGGAGAGGTTTGTTGAAAGGATTGCAACTGCAACGTCATTGATAGAAAGGGGTGTTGAATTTATGCCACTGCCGATGAAGAGATTTGAGAAATGCAGGCAGCGAGCACATTGGCATTCATTTTTGTAGTATGATCACGACAGAAATATTTTTAAAGTTCGCACCGCTATCCATAAAAATCGGGGGAATAATGTACATACCATAAATGAATCTAGAAGGTTATGCGCTTGTGGGAAATGGTCCATCTACCATATGCCGTGCTCACATGCCATCAGGTGCTTTCAACATACAGGTTTAGGGCCAACCAACTACGTTGATAAACAATATAGTATCGCTGCTTACTTAAGCACCTATAGTGGGCAGTTACAGCCAGTGGGTGCTAAGCATTATTGGCCACCGGAACCATTTAAAATGGTGTATAACAAGGACTATTTGCGTTGAATATAGGTGCAGAAGAGAACGCGTATACGGAACCAAATGGATGTTAGCGATACCGTTTATGAGCGCAAATGTGGTATATGCTCGCAAACAGGACACGACCGTCGAAAATGTCCTTCGGCTGATTTGGGTGGCGGTGGTAGTCAAGCTCGTGGTGGGTGTTCTTCTAATGTTCTCAACTATCAATGAGTTTATGTTGTAATAAGTAGATATTTTATTTATGTTGCAAGATGTATTAAATAAAATTATGTTTTCATTGTTATTAAATCTTATTGATATTTAATATTTTTCAGTTGAGTAAATTAATGCATTTCTCCCTCCCGTTCACGTAATCAAAAATAGTATTGGATTAAAAAATGGAAAAATATGTGAATATATTTGATAAATATAGTTGATAAATATAGTTCAAAAATAGTTGAGTTAAAGTTAGATTTCTGATAAATATGTGAATACACATAGTGCGGTTAAATACTACGTTATGTGAATATATATATCTATATAGCGCGGTTAAATACTACGTTATGTGAATATATATATCGCGGTTAAATACTACGTTATGTATATTGTCTTGTCGAACTGAAAAACTGCCCGTCTGAGAAAACGTTGTTTTGTATCCGTAATCATCTTTAACACGCAAAGCATAGCGCGTTTAAATACTACGTTATGTGAATATATATAGCGCGGTTAAATACTACGTTATGTGAATATATATAGCGCGGTTAAATACTACGTTATGTGAATATATATATCGCAGTTAAATACTACATTATGTGTATTGTCTTGTCGAACTGAAAAGCTGCCCGTCTGAGAAAAAGCTGTTTTGTATCCGTAATCATCTTTAACACGCAAAGCATAGCGCAGTTAAATACTACGTTATGTGAATATATATATATATAGCGCGGTTAAATATTATGTTATGTGTGTTGCCTTGCCTATAAATAACGGGCGCATTCTAGTTATTTTCTGCGGTTAACAATAACCAATAGCAAAACTTTTCATAAAAGCAAGGTTTTTTTAACGCTTTAACAAATGTCTGAACGCCTTTATGTACTAAGGTGCCAGTGCGGCAAAAAATATTTGATGAATGACTGTTGGGATGATGGTGAAGTTGGACGCCGCTACTGGATGTGTGTGGACAAGTTTATAGGGTTCCCGATGAACCTTTTTGCAATTCTGAGGTATGGATTGATGAACCCTGTAAGCAGGAATGCTACAAACGATCTTTGTAGTATCTTCATGATTTGACCTTAAAACAGTGTGAATATGAAAAAGAATATAAACGAGAAATTACGGAGTTGAAGGAGAAATTGAAAGAGGTAGAATAAGAAAAAAATAAGATGGAAGAGAAATTTAAGTGGTTGGAGCAGAGAATAATAGGCGGCAGTGACTAAACAATGACATGTATGTGTTGAGTGTACTACTTTATCTTTATACTTCCTGTGTCATGTATTTTCATTAGTTGTACTGAATTTAAATTATGTTAAGTTATTATATTTTGTGTTTGTGTTGTAATATTAAAATAAAGAAGGAACGGAAAAATAAAAACATAATGCGCATATTATGTAAACATAAAAAATTATTGTTATTATTTACATAAAATAATATTTACATAAAATACAAAAACAAAAAATCAATATGTCCTACAGCATGTGTGCTTCAATGCAGCTGCTGGCCTGAGGCGCATACCATCCCGCCCGGCTATGCTATCAGGATCATCCTCATCACGGCGCCTCTTTATAACAGGATGCGCTGTAGCATGATCATCAGTGGTGCTGGCAGGATTGGTAGAAGGGATCGTCGGTCTAGTAGAAACCTACAGAAGAATAAGTCAGCTCAGTATAGTAAAGTATATATTAAGTCACAACAATTTAAATTGTCTTACCATGGTCTCGTCGGGCTCCTGAATATAATCATCCGTCGCAACCATGTCAACATCACACAAATGGGCCTCCGTGACGGGCGGGGATGAAGCCTTAATAAGAAAATTAATAAAGTTATGGAAAATAAATGAGAAAAGAAAAAACAAATTTAAATTTAATACTAATAAAAACATACCCGCCCCTGTGAAGATGAGCCATAACTCAACCGTCGCCCACTATCCAAATCTCGGGTCGGCCGATCCTCAGCAGCGATCGATGACCCTGGGAAGTATTCTTCCCAATCCTCTCCGGTAAGGTCCGTGCCCATGATCAATAACGGACCTGACGGGGTCACCTGCGAAGTCCCTGGAATGAGCTGCATCCCAAGGTTGTATGACGGCATGCTGGTGGGATACTCGTCTGGCTCATGTAGGTCACCCGGTAGATCAGCACCAACTTCATCAATAGGGGCCTCAACGCCCCCTTGCTGGGGACCACCTCCTCGCCGCCCACTACGACCCCGTGAGGCAGCCCTGCCTCGTGGGGCACCCCTCCCTCGTGCGACACCCCTACCTTGCTGGTATTGCTCTGGCGTCACATAAGCAGGGTCGTGTCCCAAGCGCTGATCCTCTCGAGCTCGCTGCAGTGTCCGGGCAGCCACCTCTGCAACCTGTCGGCCGTAATCGTGCAAAGCGGCCGCTCCCTCGCCGGCATGCTGTTGCATCTGCAGTCCCATCTGCTATACTATATGTAGGCCAATAGCCTGCACAACGTATAAAATATAAACTACAGAACACTAAGTTACAGTTATATAATTAATAATAACAGAAAACATACCAGGGCCTCGTGCTGCCCGCCGTATGGAACGTACCGACCGCCAGCTTGATGAATAGGATTTCCGATAAAAAGTCGGGTAATGCGGCGGTACCAGGGCATATAGAGCTGAATAGTCTCTGTTTGGATCTGCGAAGGGGGGCCGGAATTAGGTCAGCTCGGCCGTCCCAAGTATGGACCTGCGCCTCTAGCCATGCTACATATGCGTTGTCCGCCCTGGAACGATCATCCCACTGATAATGTGTGGCCTCCAATGTAGGCCCCCTCGGTATATACTGCGGACGGCCAAACTAGCGAAGTACCCGCTACGTGGCATGATTCTCCATAATATTGAGGCACATAAGCGGGATGGAAGTGCTCCAAATCAGTCAGTCGGCCGAGCAATAATCGGGCAGGCCACCTATCAGGTCGTCGTTGTATGGCGTCCAGATGAACTATCAAATAAAAACAGAAAACATGAGTATGCGAAACACATGTGAAGCTATACCAAGTAAGTTTAGGTACACATTTACCTGTGTGCCCTCCCATACGTAGGCGGACCTATGATTGCCCCGTAACACTAATAGCTCATCGGAGACAGGTCCGGGATGCATAGGCGGCACGTCCATGTCGTATACTGTAAATTAAACAATATTAATTGTATGTTTGACATGTAAATTAAATAATTATTTTTTATAATTATACAATATTTAATTGGACCAAGTTATTTAATTGGTCCGGGATCCAGGCTCGATATTTGATGCCTAGTAGGACCAAGCTATCCTGAGTTCTTGTGTGTGTCAATTTTATTATTTTTATAATTTTGTATGTTTATTTTGTAAATTAAATAATTATTTTTTATCATATTTAATTGGACAGAGTATATACTTATGGGTTCCAGGCTCGATATTTGAGGCCCAGTAGCACCAAGCTATCCTAAATTCTTGTATGTGTCAATTTTGATATTTTCATAATTTTGTATGTTTGTTTTGTAAATTAAATAATTAATTTTTATCATATTTAATTGGACAGAGTTTGTATTTGATCTATCAGTATAAAAGATACTTAAACTACAGGGATTCTACGCTAAAAGGTTTTACATTTTACTACGCTAAAAGGGCACTAGTCTTTGAGCAAATAAATAATCTAAACTAGATAAAAATAACAAATACTTTTTAATCACAAAACAAACATAAAACACTAATATCTTAGTCCGGATAAAAATAATATACTAGTTTAATCGCAAAAAAAATACAAAATAATATGAAAACACATTCAAAATAACTAATATGCATTATTATACGAGTTTCGACATAAACTAAATCGGNACCGTTTATTTATCTATGTATAGCGTTGTATATAACTGCGCTATACATATATAGCGCGGTTATATACCGCGCTATGCATCCTGTATAGCGCGGTTTAAAAGAGCGTTTTATATATATAGCAAGAGCGCTATACTTTAACGGCCAAAACTCCGTTAAAATATAGCGCTTTTTAAAAGAGTGCTATATATAAAAATATCATTCTTTTTTTTAAACACATATTTTTGCCATACTTGTCCAAAAAAACCACTTGTCACTCTACGCTCTTGCATGAAGGAGTACGTGTTGCATGGAAGTGCTAGCTATAAGAGGACAAAATCAATTAAATGAAGGAGAGGGCAGTCTAGGTAGGTAGATGAAGTTAATTTTAGTACTGTATTTTCAATTGAATTTAATATTGTCTGAAAATAAAGACAGATGTATTGATTGCAGATGCTGTTGATTTAAAATAATATCAGAAAGCTTTGATTATATAGTCATACATTAAAACAAAGTCTGTTTCCTTGAATGATCAATGTAGGTTGTATCTTTTATCGAGGTCAAAATGATTGGATATCGTATGAACCTGCGAAGATGAACAATCGAATTATTAAATTTAATGAGAATGAGACGTCTTTTAGTAGTATTCTTTTTTACTCCGATCATTGTTATAATTTGTAGTTGTACACAATCAACTAAGTTAATATTACCTTTATTTTCTCACTTAGTTAAAAATAATTTTTTGCATATACTCCAACCAATACAAAAGTACGATCATATGCTCCCACATACTAAATATTGATATTCTTATATTCAAATTACTTGAATATAAACATTAATCTCAAATATTTTATACCATATAGTACGTAACTTTATAAGATCAATTATACTCTTGTAAATATAAATATAGTTGTTGAGGTTGCAAATAATTCACGCACACGTACTATAAATCCGCATTTTATAAATCGATTCATGGATTTCAATAAATGTATATGTTAACCATGTAGAAGCATAAGCTCACAAAATTAATACTAAATATATATAACTCACAAGGTAATATTTGCATGTGTAATGTCCCGACCGGTCGTTTTGAACTCTAGCGCATCGTTCGGTGGTTTGAGGCCATTAGCAACTTTACTTCAGGTATTATGATTTGTACGTATGGTCGGAATTGAATTTCGGAGAGTTCGGAGTTAATTTTGAAAGAAATTCTCATTTCGGAAGCTTTAAGTTGGAAAGATTGACTAAGGTGTAATTTTTGAGTAAACGGCCTCGGAGTCGGGATTTGACGGTTCCAATAGGCCGTATGATGATTTCGGACTTGGGCGTATGTTCGGATCGGATTTTGGATGACCCGGGAGTGTTTCGGCGCCTAATAGTAAAAGTTAGCTCTTTGAAGGTTTTTGAAGTTCTTTAAATTTAGTTTGGAATAGGTTTTGGTATTATCGAGGTCCAAATAGGATTTCGAGATCGGGAATAGTTCCGTAATATCATTTAAGACTTGCACGCAAAATTTGACGTCATTCCGAGTTGATTTGATAGGAATCGAACGCGCAAAAGTATTTTAGAAGTTTTTGAGTTAATCCATGTGTTTTGGCGTCCGATTCGTGGATTTTGATATTACTTCGGTGTTTTGATCGCGCGAGCAAGTTCGTATGATATTTTTTAGACTTTTGTGGATGTTGGGTGTGAAGCCCCGAGGGCTCGGGTGAGTTTAGGACATGTTCGGAAGGATGAAGCTTCAGTTTTCTGGTGTTTCTTTGTTGGTGTCGCAAATGCGAGAAATAGTTTGCATTTGCAAACCTCGCATTTGCGTGAATGGCTTCGCATTTGAGAAGAAGCCTGATCTGGGCATGGCTCACATTTGCGAGAAATCAGTCGCATTTGCGACCTTGACAGGGTTCCCATTTGCGAGTCCTTGGTCACATTTGGGACCTTGGCAGTGGGAGCCCAGTTCGCATTTGTGACCTTCGCATTTGCGAACCAGATGTCGCAAATGCAATATCGGAGAACTGTGCACAACTTTATTAAATGCAGGACTCAGGCCATTTAGCTCATTTCTTTCATATCTTGGGCGATTTTGGAGCTCTTGGAAGAGGATTTTCACCTAGCACTTTGAGATAAGTAATTTCTACATAACATGAGTTAAATACATAGATTAGGGGTAGATTAACATGTAAAGAAATTAGTGAAATCCAAGGTTTAGATGAAAAACATAGAGTTTTGATAAAAATGGGATTAACCCACGAAAGTGATTATGAAATTAGATAAAAATCATATATTTGAGTTCATGAGGTTATTGGGAATAATTTTCTTCAAAAATTTCCGGAATCTAGGCACGTGGGCCCGGGGTGAATTTTAGAAATTCTTTAATTTGGGTTGGAAAAATCACTTTAATAGTTAGAATGTGAACTCTTGATCATGTATTGACTATTTTATATAATATTTGACTAGTTTCGGGTCGTTTGGCACCGAGTTGAGGATTTAAAGTATAATTTTAGACCGGAAAGTAAGTTTTGAGACGAGGTAAATCTCTTGTCAAACTCTGTGAGGGGGAAACTACCTCTAGGTAATGTATATGATATGTGTTATTTGTTACGGGGGCTACGTACACACGAGGTGACGGGAGTCCGTATGTAGCTAGATTCATGTTACTGTCCGGGTAGACTTACGTTCACACCATGATATACTTGTATTATAAAGGTTATCTTTGCTCGTTTAAGTCCTTTATTTTGCATTACGACTTGAGACTAGATGTGCGTAGAGTGATTGACTTGCTATTGTAGAGATTTGACTAGTTTTATGATTAGCCGCGGAATAATTGTGTTCATCTTACGGATTTCTCCTGTGCTATACATTTTTATCGAAAGGTTTTTCTTAATATTATAACTCACACATTTATTCGTGAGTGGAGTCAAGGACCTGTTAAAGCTTCTTATTCTGATGGGATCGGGCCGTTCACCTCGGCAGGATTATGTACCACACTCTAATGAGAACGGGCCGTTCGCCTCGGCAGTTTAATAGATGCATCTATGATTCGTGTCGTTTGACCCTCGGCAGTGCACAGTTTAATATTTATGTTGGATCGGGTCGTATGCCTTGGCATTTCTATAAAATATCCCCATGGAATCATGCGTAATATTTGGCAAGAAGCCAGGGTATCTGTGAGCTTTTTTCCGTGATTCGAATTGTAACAACCTATTTGGTAAGGTCCATTATACATATTTATATGTGCTCCGGTTGAGGAGGAATTTACTAATTGAGAGCTTGAGTTTATTGTAGCGAGGAGAATCGTACCACATATTTATACTTGTTTATTTTATTTATTTACTCTTCCTCATATTTGTTCGCCTCCTTACTGCACCTGATATTATTGGACCACTAGTGAGTGTTGATGTCGACCCCTCATCACTACTCCTCTGGGGCTAGGCTAGATACTTACTGGGTACACGTGGATTTATGTACTTGTACTACACTTGCTGCATATTTTTGTGCAGGTACTTTTATGTCCTGTGGTCCTTTGGGCGCGGAGGCACGAATGATTCGGGGACTTGCCGCGAGCTGCATTTCAGCTTACGATCCGCAGCCAGCAAAGTTTTCTTCAAAGTTATTTGTATTT